CCACGTGGGTCAAGGGGATGCTTACACGTGCAGATGTATGTCAGCACCAAGGGGCTATAAATACCCCCCAACTACCTCCGATGAAGGTAATTAATCTCTACGCTTCTCTCTCTGCAATTACTCCTTGAGAGCTTCTCTCTCTAGAACATTGAGTATTGCTGACTTGAGCGTTAGAGTGTTTTCCCCGAGGAAACAACCTCGGGATTTTCAGGTGTGGAAGCAGCTAAGGACTTCAACAGTGTTGGATTGTGAAGCTGCCGAAACATTGGCGCCGTCTGTGGGAAATCCGAACAAGAAGTTGTGTGACTTAACCTGCTGAAAGACAAAATGGTCCGTACCTTTACAGGAGGCCGTCCTCCAAGAAATGAAATGGACGAACAGGAGGACGCTCACGTATCTGAGCCCGGCCTGAATGACTTTAGACCAATGCCAAGAAACCTTTTTGTAGGGGGAGCCGAACAGGACCACCTAAGTGAGACAGATGATGAAAGAACACCGACTGGGTATGCAACCCAGCCTGAACAGTTCCAAGCTCCAACAGGAACAAGACAAAGATCTGCCAGACCGTACAATTCACAACGTGAACGACCTGAAAGGTCAACAGAACCTGCTCGGACGACCGAGCTCGGAGAGAGAACTAGAGTTCTCGAAATGGCAATGGGTAAAATCCTTGCCCGTTTAATTCCTGATGACCCCTTGATTCCCTTGCTGAACAGAGATGCGCAACCAGCTGCGGTTGTTGCTACTCGAAACTCCCCTGCTCTAAGTAACATCGTGGTGCCGACCAGGCCAAGAGGAAGTGGGAAGTTGAACAACGAGCCTAGCTCGTCCAAACACAGTGAAGAACTATTGAGGAAGAATGCAGACCTCGAAAGGCAACTAAGGGATGTACAGAAATCCATAGACGAGCTGAAAAGTCCCAGGTCACACCAGCAGACCCTTGATTTGGATAGCGCTCGTCTAAACCTATCCATCACAGCAGAACCGTATCAAGAGAGATTCAAAATTCCCCACCTGGAGACATATGATGGCACGGGTGACCCTGATGAACATCTGCACACCTATCAAGCCATCATGAGAATCCAAAATGCTAATGATGCCATGATGTGCAAAGTGTTCCCAGCAACACTACAATCAACAGCCAAGAGATGGTATCACAAACTCCCCAGACATTCAATAGATTCATTTTCCCAGCTCGCCAAGTTGTTTTCTAACAAATTTGCGAGCCAGAGGGAGATCAAGCGTACAGCAACCGAGCTGATGCAAGTTAACCAGAAGGAAGGGGAGTCTTTGAGGGATTACATGCAGTGGTTCAACAAAGCCACCTTGGACATTGATAATGTACCGGACACGATTTGCCTGTCCGCCCTGTTGCATGAGTTGAAGCGTGGCCGATTCCTAGACGACCTGCTTGAAAACCCACCGAAGACGTGGAACGAGGTGAATGACAGGTCGGCCAGCTTCATACTGTCAGAGGACTTTCAGTCGTCCAAGCGACGAGCTGATGATAAGCCGAGCAAAGGCCAGGAACAACAACCGAGAAGAGAAGAGAAGAAGAAACAGAAGGTCGGTGAGCAATGGGGGAAACCAATTGAGTTCCCGAAATATGCCAGTTACATTCCTTTGACCTTACCTAGGTCTCAAATCCTGGCACAAATTCAGCACTGGGTTAGGAGACCTCCACCCCCACTACATGATTCTCCGAGGGCAGACAAGAGCAAGCATTGTGACTATCACCGTGTATATGGTCACAATACAGAGGATTGCCAACACTTGAAGGACGAGTTAGAATTTTTGGCTCGTAACGGGAGGCTAGAAGGGTACGTTCAGAAGCCTCACGCCCAGCAACCCACTCAAACCCATTTTGTACAGGCGTATGATCGACCTCAAGGGCTGAGGTACCAGCACGGTGGGACGCAGGATGCATATCGGGATAACCAGTATCCTTCTGAACAGGGCAGAGCATATCGAGGACGTCCCTTCAACCGGAGAGGACAGGGACCAAGAACTACCGCCCCGAATCAAAAAGACAGAAAAGGGGTAGGTTATGCTGGGATACCCCCACCTTCTGGTACCATAAACATGATATCGGGTGGTGTTCACTCAGGGGGCCAAAGTGCCCGAGCTCGCAAGGCATATGCTCGACAGGTGATGACGGTCAACAAAAACAGACCCCTAAAGTGGCCGTTTGAAGAAGTAGAATGGGAAAATGCACCTATCACCTTCAGCCCGGCAGATTACCAGCGAGCAGAGGGAGAGCCTGACATTATGATGCCCCATGCAGATCCCTTTGTGGCAACGGTTCATATAGGCAATCATAATGTAAATAAAGTGTTCATTGACACTGGCAGTTCACCAGATATCCTATATTGGAGTTGCTTCCAAAAGATGCAGCTAAATCCGAGCTTGCTGCAGAAGCACGAAGGCTCGATATATGGATTTGATAACCAGCCCGTCCCAGTTGAGGGAATTATTACCCTTCCTATATATGTGGGCTCAGAACCGCACTTCAGAATGGCTTCTGTCACCTTCATGGTTGTTAAGATGGAATCAGCTTTCAATGCTATATTAGGAAGAGCCACCCTGTGCGAGCTGAAAGCTGTTATCTCACAGCCCCATCTCTGTATGAAATTCCCAACTCCTCAGGGGGTAGGAGTGCTGAAAGGGAATCAGAGGATGGCTAGAGCCT